CTGCCTCCAGGACAGCCTCAATTCGCACGGCTGCTAGCAGGTGCCCTTGCACTAGTGACTGTCTTCTCCCAGTCTGACCAATGACCTTCAAGGCTGACTCACACAAAGACCGCTCTCCAGACACTTGTAACGGCTCCCGCGCTCACAACCTTCGGACATCGCCCCGCTCCGGTGAACACCTACGCCCTTCCGACAGCCAACTTCCTCCAGCCTAGTCTCCATCTCTTCTGTACAGAATAAACTATTCTCAATGTTCGAACATATGCGAGGTCCAAGTAATTGAATAAAAGGTTAAAAAACGTTCTCTTGGACCAGAATAAACTATAAAGTCCGTTGGAGAGGAATAACGTTTATTGCGTGAATTTTCGAGTCTGGTTTCCCAGCTCGTCGTCAGACAAATGAGTCGTGCGGAAAACAATTAACGCAAAACGATGACTAACACAAGATTCTGCGGTGAGATAGAGTGTAGAACGAGCCCGAAAGCTCAGAAGAATACAATTACAATTCCGGTGATCAAAACGCCTTCGTCTTCTACACAAATACCTGGGATGCGAACCTTTACCTCGTGATAAACTATTCCTTCCACCCGGCGTCTCCTTTTTTCCTTTCCCCTGCGAGACCAGGGCCTGAAGAGCGCAGTGGCAAGGGTTTTACGTATCAACTTAACCCACGTGCATCGGACATAGATACAACACCAGGCTCGCGGCGAGGCCGACGGAAGAGTAAGCACCATGCTCTGATGATGAGAACGAGCATGTCTTCGAAACGTCAGCACAAAGACAATCCGGTCCCAGAACTCGCTTCCTCTTCTTTCTCTTCCGGGGATGATGAACACAATATGATATCTGGACCCCAAATATTTGCGCATATTAACTACTATAAGTATACAAGACACATTTCCGAACCGGGTAAGGTAATAGCAACAGCAGAAAGCAATGCAATACTCGGTACTTATACCTGCCTACTGGTAATCTATACAGTCCAGGCTGTCTTATACTGTGTGAAGGGCCTACGGAATCATGCCTAGGTACAACCAGCTTTCCCAAAAGAAAAAAGTCTAAGGGTAAGTCAATCAAAATTACCTCTCGTTAAAAAAAAATACTAAAGAATGATAATATAAAGGAATAT